CTAAATCAACGCCCGTATCGAGACGACTTTCCCCGACAGTTTTCCTGCTCTCTTCATGGCCGTGAACACGATCTTTTTGTCCCACCGTCTCTCGCTCATCCTGTCTTATCTCGTCTCTGCTGATAACGTCTCTGAGACTGAGCTCTGCCTCGAAGAGAAACACGAGGGCGAGATCGACAGGAAGCGGAGCGAGCGAGCGGACGAACGAGTCAGAGTTAGTGCTGTGAGTTTTAAGATTGAGCGGGTTAAGAGAGGAATGGACGCAGTGACATTGATGAGAGAGAGAGAGAGAGAGAGAGAGAGGGAGGAGGGGGGGTGAGACAGGTCTGGAAAGTTCCATGGGATTTGTAGATAAAGGGGGTTGTGTTTGAGCTACATGCCAATGTCCTCCTGGGCAAGATGCTGCGCCCCAAGTTCGTTGATCTGAACGTCAGTCCCGGAATAAATCGGAAAAGGTTTAGAACCTGAAAAAACCTGTGTCCAATCACATGTTGGTCTGCGCTCTGGGCCAAAGCTGTTGAAGTCTGATGTGATGTCCAGGATTTTTTTTTTTGTGTGTGTAAAGCTCTGCGTTTTACACTCAGATTTATTTATTTTGCTTGTAAAGCTCTGCGTTTTACACTCAGTCCATATGGCTGCACCACAATTTCACAGTTCACAAAACTTCCACCTCAAGCTGTTTTTCTTACATCAACTCATCACCGTGTCTATCTATAAAATGACAGGAACAGGAAGTCAGGGCTGTCAGTCAGGCTCCGACTTTCACACCTGTGGAAATAAAGAGCAGGTTTGAGTCAGAAAAACATACCAGGCTTTGCTTTAACCAGAGCTTCATATTTTTTAAAAAAAAAAAAATTTTTGGCCAGATTTTTTAAATCAATAATTCAGCTTTCAGTTTCAGTTCATTCAGTTTTTTTGGTCTGTCGTCTGTGGGAATTTAGACAGACAGTTTTTTGGTCTGTCGTCTGTGGGAATTTCACCTTTTCACTTTGTTTCTTAAAGGACCACAGACTGGACCACTCGGAGCCTGTATCCGGGCCACATGTGGGTCACGAGCCACTATTTGAATAGAAAATAATCTTAAATCCTTTATTTGATTGAAACATGTTTCTGGAATGTTCACGTGAGCGGACGCTTGCTGAAGGATCGGATTTTAAAACTGCCTACACGGCGAATTGGTTGGATCACGAGCGAGCGAGCGAGAGAGAGAGAGAGAGAGAATCAAACCAGTTTTTTTAATTCTGCGTCCTACTGGGCCTGGCCACGTCCATGTTTTTGCACAAATTTGTTCTGATCACTTTTATTTGCCTGGCCTCTGGGGGGCGCTGGTCAATGCACCAAGTGATTTTGAGCAGCAGTGGCAGATGTTGTGTCTGATGCATTCAGCAATCTTTTAGAAAAAAAGAAAAAAAAAAGTCTGTGTGTGTGTGTGTGTGTGTGTGTGTGGTTTTCCTCTCTCTCTGCCCTTCAGCCTTTATCAAGTCCTTCTAATTATTTTATTATGTAAATGAGCCACCATTATTTCATTGGTGCAGCAGCCAATCACAGATCACTGATTAGAAAATGATTAGCATGCAGTGGGAGCCTCACCTCCCCCCACCCCCCCACACCACCACCGTACTCTCATCGCCGCGAACAATGGAGTCATGTTGGATTGCACTTGGCATACTATTTTGAGAATGTTCAGAGAAGAACAACAGTATCTCTAAACCTTCTTTTTTTTCTGATTTTTTTAAAATTTAAATAACAAATAGATTTAACATGATTGTACACGTGTGTGTGTTCAGTTGGTGGTAAAGATGTCGTGTTTTTTTTTTGGTTTTGGTCGTTGTTTTCTGTCACTGCTAAAACCCCGGCATCAAACCTCCTTCACATCAGATCTGTTTCCCAACAGTGAGGCACTGCGTCGGTGTGTTAGTGTGTGTGTGTGTGTGTGTACACGGTTGGAAGCCCATGTTTTCAACACGGTGGGTTTTAAATCCCGTGTTTCTCTACGGAGACGTTAAGATTGAAATCAAACAGAGGGGGCGCCACTCCTGGTTTTCTCAGGGTCTAGGAAGACTGTAGCTGTGTTGTGTTGTCCACACACTCCTGCCTGTGCAGTCAGGACACAGGTGTTCAACAGGTCGGACAAAGTAAGACGGTACATTTGACAAGGCGCTCGGTCTACAGTTAAACATAAAATACAAACTGAACGTCCTTGGTTTGGAGATGGCAACAACAATCCTCAGTTTTCTTTCTTACAAAGAAGAACCTCACGGAGCAAAGCCAAGAGTACGTCTGTGTACACGTGAGTGTACTCTGTGTACACGTGCAGAACCTGCACAACTGAAGTACTGAAATACTCCCTGACAGTAGACAGCAGTACTCTCTGTGTGGCTCCTGGCTTCATTTGCAGCTTCAAATAAAGCACAGCAACATCCCCCGGCGCCAAACACATGAATACAAATACTTATCTGTATAATAAAATAGAATAA